TGAACAGGAAAGGCAAACATGTAACAAAGGGTTTACTAAATTTTACAATTAATATTGATTTGAAAACAAACACTTTAACTTCTTCAGTAATTTGACCAGTTGGTTAAACATTTTTGTTCATATATAGGACAGGCAAAGAAATGTTTAACGCTTTATTTCCAGCGCAGAATAAGCTTTAATCAAACATAATATATCATCACAAAATAACACAAATCTATAGGCAGTCTGCACATTAGCCTTCTGTATAATAAATCATTTCAGGAATAAATTACAGTTGATTAAAACGGCACAGTAAAGTACTTATAAACACATTTTAAACGTTGAACTGTATGCATGTATTTACTGCGAAAAGCACTAAAAGAGTTACTAACATAGACTTTCACTTGGTAAAGTTTCTGCAGCATAAATAGTGCAACAGGATCATTAATAAGTTTTCAAATAAAAAAAAACTCTGAGATGGAATAAGCCTGCAAAGAAACAATTTATTAAAAAGATTGGTTACTTTATCAAGTCAGTAACTAGGTATGTTAAAAACGCAATAAAAAATCCAGTTGATATTGACAATAATACAAAATCGTCTAAAGAATACAAGCCTTTTGTTTCATATCATATTTCCAGCTTTGAATATATTGGCTGCCATCATAACCCGGTATGGACAGTAGCGAAATATTACATTCACATTGGAGCCATATCTTTCAGGCTGAAAACAGCTGCCAAGTGAAATCGAAATGCGGAAATATTGATGTTGGTTTACTATAAATGCAATTCGATATGTCATGTTATATCAATGATGTTGCATACTGCAAAAGTGTTGCTTTTGCCGGCAAGTTCCAATTCCAATTCCAATTTTCAGCCCCAAAATTAGACTGAAAATAAATAAATCTCGTTCAGTTCGTTTAGCTCCATTGATTTCTGCACCTCAATAAAATGCCAAAACTGTGAAAATCAAATATTTACATTTTAGATAATTAAAAATAAATGCAGCACTTTTGGCCTAATAATTGCATAATAATAGAATAGCTGGACTCGTGGAATTCCGAATGAGATTCCTCCATTAAATTGAACATCGTCCCAAAATAGATGTGCCATTCACTCCGAAGCTGCAAATGGACATTCCATGTTAAATACACGTCATTCCTTCGGATATTTGAATTATGCAACATTTCCTTGGAGACTCCAATAAAATATCTTCCGTCCAACAATAAATAGCAATATTTATACTTGAAAATTGGAAAACTCATCACCTATTCATATTTCCTCAGGAAAGTCCCAAATTAAATGAGAATATCGGTTACCGCAACTTTTAAATGCGATTTTGCTCCTTGGCTTTGGCTTCAGAATATGAGCGCGAAAGAGAGATTAAGTCTGTTTGCGAAATTGCCTTCATTTGAGTCGAAATACTCAATTTCACAGCTTAGAAGGTTCTTAATGAAATCCTATTAGCCGAAATTGAAGAGGGGAATGACAATTTGCTGTGCCTTATGGATACGCTTATACTTTTGCTTTCATTTATTCCAGGTATTATTTCGTTCAACGAGCTTTAAATTGAAAAACTTGGGTTTCACTGATAAATCAAATACCTTAAAAAATTGTTAATATTTCTCGGAATATTATCCAAATTAAGTCATGAAATGCGGAATTCCATTTCCATATATTTAGTGTAGTCAAAATTCCCAAAAGGAAAAATCAAATTTCGATTATTATTTCGGCCCCCAAACAATATCAAATGTAATATTCATGAAAGCAAGTTTAACTGGCATTACATTAGGCTAATCAGTCTATATTAATTTAATGAATAACTAAAATGGTATGTTTGGCACGGAAATATTAATTAGTTCAGTCGAGCCATGCTTTTATTAGAATTTCCTTCAACCGATCGGAAAATACATTTTACTATATCAACCAATGGCGAACCTGCAGGTATCTCAGACAGACGAAATAAACTGGAAATTAAAGGTTTTAAGCACATGCACATTGCAACAGAACACTTTACTTGAATTAAAAAGCAAATTGCGGAAAAATAAAAATTTAATTAAGCAAGTACGGGAGTCAGCCGTGGTTTCCTCCCCGTTTGATTAAAGTGTACCTTCTTTGCTCCTGTTCAATCTGGTTAACCGGAGAAAACGAACAGGCATTGATTTAAATCCGCAGAACCATGTCGAACATAGTAAGTCGTTTAATCTAGTTCGCCCTACAATTTGTACAAGACGATTGGTTGTTTAATCAGAAAATTTCAGAGGATTTAATCAAGAAGCAGTTCCAATTTGCCTAACAAAAAATGCTTGCCTAAATGGGGGATTTAGGAAAACCCACAGTGGTAAATGAGTTTGTGCGTATTTGCTTTACAGACTCTTAGTAATTTTCAATTATACATACAGTACAATTTTCAATATAATCAAGTTTTAGGGCACTTTGTATTGCGGTCAACCACTTTTAAGTACTATTTTTAACCAGAATCAACAGCGCTAATTTTCTTTTGAGCAAGTTTTCCTACTTGCCTGTTCTTTTTCTTGAGCCACTTTCTTCAAACTTTCCGCAAGTTGATTAACTAGACGCCCACTTTACACTTCAACCATCACAGCTACTTTAATTAATGAAAATTAACAAGAAGTCCTGTTAGTTGGTGTGCGGTTGGTTCTGGCAAACCAACAGTTTCTGGTTTTCAGCCATTATTGGGGGCAAAAAGGAATATAATTCAGGGTATTTTCTTCGACTGTAATACACGGACTTTCTGGCACAAAAACTGGAAAATGTCTCGTTTTAAAGCTAATTGAATCAGTTCTAAAGCGAAATCTGTTGTTTTGTTTCTGTTTTGTTCACACTCCGTTAGGCGTAATGGCTTCGGATAAGCCAAGATGTTGGTCATTATCTCACTCAATGGTTCATTCTTATTGGCTTTTTCAACATCAGACGCCCCAATCGGATCGGATTAGGGTCCCTTTATTTCCTGTAATTATTAAGCAGCCTGGTAATGTCGTTCATTTTGTATGAAACAAAGTCTGTAACTCAATCTTTTCCCAGTAGTTTCGTTAAGGTTTTAGCGAGGTAATGGATTAAGAGTAGGCCTTAAATCACAAGGTTCTGAAGATAAAAGTAAACTAGCAAGATAATCATTTACTTCAGTCAGTTCATTTTCACATCATTTTTTTTTGTTGTCATTCTACGCTCCAAAAGTATTTGGTGTGCAAAACCGATCTAATTGTTCGTTGAACGTCCTTGTTTGAAGTAACGGTTTTTACATCTGAAAAGTTGGTAGGCAGAACAAGTAATAATGGGTAAATTCCAAATCTGGAGAATCCGGTGGCTAAAGCAGTTAATCCCATTTCAGCTTCAGAAGCTTTGGCTGTAAGCATGTAAACTTGAGTAGATGGAGTAACTTATCTGAGGTCGCGCTTTATCTTAGTGAAACAGTACACATTTTATGCTTGTGTTTGTGTTCTGATCTCTTGTTCATTTATTTTAATTATTCAGTTGGTTCAGCTGGTAAAGGTACACTTCAGAATTAATCGCCGCGTTGTTCAAAAGTGACTAAAAAACGATTTCTTCGAAATCGCCCCAAAGAGACTTAATCACTGTTGTTAAACAAGCAAATTTCTGGTTCAAGTAATCCATTTCCCGTACACCGCGGTGAAAAGCTTAAAAATGGATCACCCTCTGGCTTTTTGAGAATTTAATCACCAATGCGATTTTTTTCCAAAAAGACATGAAAAAACCTAAACTCGATCTCTGAGGTTAAATCTAGATAATTCAATTGACGATCAACGAACAAGATTGATAAATTTGTTGTTGGAATTAGCAGGTTTGCGTAAATTAGTGTCTTTATTGCGCTTTCTTTGGCTTCCTCAATATGAAAATTACCAGTTTGAAATGTTGGTAACCAGGTTTGGCACTGGCCTTCTGTTAATATAAGTTTTTCGCACACTTTCGATAGAGGAAGAGCAGAAACTGGTGTTTTTCTCTTGCCATTTTCGAAATAGTACCGTCAAAAAACCACCAGAGAGAACCATTCCATATAAAAGTCATTGTGCATGAGTTTCCATATTATGGAGCGATTATGCGTGAAAAAATACAAGTTTCTGTTAGGACACAATGAATTACTTTCCGTACAACCCGATACTGAAAACCCATAAATGGCTACATGAAATTCCATTTATCAAGCAAATATATTTACTATCTGAAATATATTTTTGAACTTTTCATAAACGATTTGCCCTTTGATAATCCATTGGAATGTCAGGATCACGCGTGACTCGATTGCAAAAATATGGGTAGCAAATGGCCAATTGAGCGGGCATAAAATGTCTTTGCCGTCCATAAATTGTTCGATTCAAAGGCGATTTTCGACAAAATTTACGACTCTCATATGCGGAAATATGAAAATATGGGCGTAGTGTCTTGTAGCTGAAAAATACTCGCACTCCAATTTGTCGAGTATATTTTTTCACTGGACTTATTTCTATATAAAATTTTGTAGGGTCCTGGACGTTAATAAAGCCGGTGAAAATGTCTACAAGTTGAAATTCCAGAGGCGCTGGAAAGTAGATTGAAAAATTCCTCAGAATTAGCTATGTAAATTCCCTTATGGAAATATTTATATGCATTTATCAAATACAGTAAAATGCACATACATTATTCTCGAAATATGGGCGTTGTGCACATTAACGTGGTGCATAATAAAATATTTTATGAGCACATTATTGCTTACTTTTACGGCATGCATAAGCTACTACCAATCATTAAATATTACAGATTGCTTGAAAATTAAAACTAATTTTGCCAAGTACACTAATCCCTACATATGTGATCACTTATGTTGAAACTGGTTGAATTTCTTCCGCCTTTAATGAGAATATTTCGTCACTATTTCGCATCTATTGAAATCGCTAGCATTCTTACTGATTTATTAATTGATAGTAACTTTTCAAAATTAGTTTCAATTTTCACTTCGCTTATACTCGATAATACAATACACTCGATAATACAATAAAATGATTAATACATTTTTATTTTGAAGATGTTTTATTCATGATCGGGCAATGAGTTACATCATTTTCAAAAAAACCCTAAACCATCACGTGTCGGCTCCCTTAACTTAAACAGTCATGAGTTTTTTGGTTGTGGTTGTGATCGGTTTGCCTGTTGGCTTTTCAGTAGGCGTTACAGTTGGCTTTACAGTTAATTTGGTCACCACTGTGCCATTTTCAACTACATACGTTTCCGTTAGTTTTCCAACTGGTTTTCCGATTGGTTTTTTCGTTGGCTTTTCAGTCCATTCCACTGTTGGTCGGATTACTCGTGTTTTAATTGGTTTGGTTGAGGTGTTTAAAGTTGGCTCTACTGATCTTTTGTCAATGATAGTTTCAGTGGGGTTTTTGGTCGTTGGTTTGGCAGTCATAACAACTTCTTTTGGGACGGTTCCATTTTTCACATCATCCACTAATTCGTCCCATTCAGAACTAATCCACTTGAATGCACGCCTTAATCCAGTTTCGCCATCCATTAAATTGATGTTAGCAGCCGAAGACAATGAAACAACTGAAACGAAGAATTGATGTAACTGAAGCACGAAGCTGTTGGGTTTGATTAAATTAATCAACGTTCGGAAATTGGCGCAGTCGATAGCATCGGTTAAGCCGCTTGGTGTAGGTTTTTGTTGATGAAAACGATTTTTTGTCTTTATTAAGAAGAAAAATCAACGCGAGAAACAAAAATTTTGCAGAAGAATAAAGGAGAACCAAGAACTGCCACGTTGGAAGCAGTTTCTTGGATTGAACTAAAATAATTCATTTACTAACTATAAAACATATGTTAATTATAGATTCGTTGTAATTAACAGGCTCAGGGCAAAAAATTCAACAAATAATTAGTGAATTTGATTGTTTGGAAATTCTAGAAGCAAAATGGCAGTTCATGCTAAAACTTTAAGGTTTTCAGCTTCATTTTCACGATTTTTCCGAAAAAGCCTTTCTAACCAGGCCGTTCGATTTCAGAAAAATTAATGTCGTTCGACCCAGCGATTTATTTATTTTTGGGACAAATTGAATCGATCTTGAAATAACCGATTTTCCTAATTGTTCAATAATCAAATCGGGAAAAGCACATCGAAAGTAGTCCAAATACCTAAACTAGCTTTAAAAAAAATCTCAAACACGGTCGAGTTTATGTTGCAGTTCAAACGAGCAAAAGTGAACATGGTAAGGCAATTTTATTTTTATTAAGTACGAGTATTCTCAATTTGAGGACTTCGGTGCCAGCATTCAGTTCATAATTTTTAAAGTTGTATAATTTTTGATACCACGAGTACAGTGAAAAACTGGGTTCTTTGTCACAAATTTTCAAAAAGTCAACATTTGGTCAAACAATTGATGGAAGAACATAAAAAAGTATCAAAAATATTCTGTTTTCATAAACGTTTTGCTGATTTTGAAACAGTTAATGTTGCTAATATGAACGAAGGATAGCAACTAAGCAAAATAATTGTTCAGAGCTGCCGAAAAACGATCGATGAAAGCAAAATTTTAGTTGTAACATTTTCCTCCGATGTTTTTATTTGCAAAGCATTGTTAAATTTGAAAAGTTTTATATTTATTGAAAACGATTACTTACCTCCTAAAACCAGGACAGCGATAGCACCGAAAATTTTCATGTTTGCTCTTTGACTGAAACTGCTCAACTGCTAAGTCTGTTGAGATTTAACTTTTCTTCAATTCCGTCCCCTTTATGTACTAAATTTTTGTAATAAAAACGGCACTTAATTTGCTGTTCTAAAGCCAGTGCAATAACTTCCAAAATATCGCTAATCAGAATCGGATAGACATTCACAGAGTCATTGTGTTCTGCACGTATGAAAATAATAGAATTTCCATAACATTTTAATAGCTATTGCTTAACAAATGCTCGAATACAGAAATTCCTCTGCAGATAGTTTAAGTGTTTTTGCACAGTAAATAAAAGTGACTTAACAAACATTCTTCTCAACTGAAAATTTTACATTCCTGATAAACCCTGTAACTTTCAAATGACTTTGATTGAACCCACTTGTCAATTTCCACGTATTTCCCAAAATTTCCAATGGACGACGAAATTCTGCAACACCACTTCGACGAAGTCTTTAGCGCTTTGCAGGACAGGGAAAATTTCGAAATCTTCACCAAAATCAAGCAGACCAGAGAACCGCGAGTGAAGCAAACCTTCTTCAAAATCGTCACTCCTTCACAAGTGAACTCCAGCGCTTCAGTAGACGGAGCGCGCTTCCATGCTCGAACTCCTCAAAGATACACCTCCCAAAATGCCTTCAAGCTGACCCCTTTTAACAGCAGGCCATCTTCTGCAAGCACCACGACAGTGAAGGCAAAGGCCACTTTTAGACCTTCGATTACAATGCCAAGACCGAATTCTCCAAGGCTGAGCTCCAGACCGAACTCTCCAAGGCCCTTTTCCAGAGGTTCCACCACCATGTCTTCTCGCACTTTGTCGCCGCGTCCAATTACTCCTCGATCAGCTCCTAGTAACTCTAAGTACTACACTCCGAAGGAGAATAGCAGCGATGTTCTGGGGGAGTGCAGCTATTGCGGCAGGTTCTTTTTAGGAGACTATCTGCTGGTGCATGAAGAAAAGTGTTCTCAAGAGGATTTGTTTTATTGAATGGTTCAATATGACATGTTTGTCTTCATCAAAATTATCTTAAAGAAAAACAGCTGTGGTGGTTTTATTATTTCCATTCTATCCAATACCCTGCTTGAGTAATTTGATCCCTCCTAGTGAAACCTTGTGGATCTAGGCATGCATTTAACGAGATATATTCCTATTTCTCGGCGTGGCTCTTTTCTATTTCCATCCGCCTTCTCTTCTAATTAACGTAATTATTTGGATGTGCATGTGATTTAATGGAGAAATAACCGAACCTGGCTGCTATCTCCAACATGCAACGTAATTATGGGCCACAACTGTGCTTCGGATTGTGGTGAGCCAGTGGAAAATACGACTTGAGGGAAGAATACTCAAGTTAACCGCAACTTTACGATGTTGAAGTTACCCTATTGATTTTCAGGCAAGGTTTTAATCAAATATATTTCCTATTACTAGTAATTAATTAGTCGGGTTTAGTACCAATTTCATTGGATTAATCTACTGTACAACGTTAACCTGAATGTATTGTTTCAGGTAAGCAATCGGTTTTTCTTGTCTGGATAGCCATTGGTAAGCTAATGGCTTTTGGTCGTAATCAACAGCATAAAAATCGTCCTTTCCATAATAAATTCTAAGGTCTTGCCTGCATTTTCCTAAGTTACTCAGCCTCTTAAGTAATTGAGAGCGCAAGTATCTTCAGGAACTTTATGGTAAAACGCTTTAAGTGCCACTACTACAACGTTATGTTTTATAGCCCATCTAGTAGGAGCTCATTTAGAGCAAAAGGGAGCATATTTAACTGCTTAGATTTAGATTTGTGGAAAATAACGATTGCAATTGCTGAATTTTGCTGATTCAATCGGGAGCAAAATTTCATTAAACGGAATTATTTTAAAAAGCTAGACACATTTTTCAGCCAAAAAATGGCTACTGGCACTTTCTTCAACGTTAGTTAGCTGCATTCGAATTTTTTTCACTTGGAAGCTGAAACATATGATTGAATCATTTAGCAGTTGCTGCCACAAAATTACGGGAATTTTAAAGGACGGAAATGGAATATTTTAAAACTTCAGAGCTCTACATTCTAAATGCTTTTTTCAATGAGGGCATAAAAAATTTTACGACTAAATCTTCTACATCCTAAAAAAAGGGACGGGCAGTTTTTTCATGCATTCTAAACGTTTAACTCTTTCTAGGAAATGCTTCACTGCTTTGGAAACTGAGGTCATTTGGGGCAGTTTATTTGCTAAAATTAGTCTCTTTTAGTTTACAAGATGAGATAAATAAATGATTCAGGCTCAGTTGCCTTGAAAAGGTCGGTACACTGTGGAATTTAGCATTGAAAACATGCAAAAAAACTGATTTATTTTATCAGGCTCTACACGAAATACGCATTTTACGGGAACATCTGATGCTAGGGGGAGATTTACGTTCTGCCCGGTTGAAACCGATTTTGCAGACCCTAGATCTGTAAATTTGGATCAGCTTTTGCTAAAT